GGAGGGTGGGGCTTGATCTAATTCTTGTGCAAGGAGACTGCAGAGAGCTCTGTCTGTCTGCACACACACTGATAAGAGGTCAGTGGGACCCACGGCAAGATGGCACTGTCTACACGGCACAAAGAGAGGCCTCAGGAGGAACCATCCCTGCTGGCACCTTGAACTTGGACTTCCAGCCTCCAGAGAGCTGTGGGAATAACTGTCTGTTGTTTAAGCCCCGTCAGTGGTATCCTGTTTCAGCCCAGTGGACTGAGACAGTGTGTTAGAGTCAGAACAGATTCTGAGAACAACTGGTGAAGAAAAAATAACCAACATTTTCCTGAAATTTTTACCCTTCACCAGCCATTTGTGTGCCTGAAAGGCCATCCTTGAGAATGTCGTTTACTCATCACTCCATTCGACGAGCATCATCGCTGTCCCCTCTGGGAGCCCACAGATTTCCAGGGCAGGACCAAGAAAACGCAGAGGAAATGCAAGCCAAGCTCCCTGCCACGCGTGTGCAGTGAAGTTGAGAGTCACGCCATTAGACGCACACAGCACCGTTGGGTATGCACACAAGACAAAATAAAATCAGTCCCCAAATGGATGTCCCACGGGCATCCCGGGACCAGCTAAACACCGAGGCTGCAGAAGGGAGAGGACCTCCAAGCACTGGAAGAAAGGTTTTTAGCGAGGACAGAATTTTAAGGCACCAGAAGTGGAGTGGAGCATAAGGGATTAAGGAACAGGTTGTGAGCTCAAACCCAGGGTCACGGGTGTGCTGGGATGGACGAAGTGTCCCACCCTGAGGGGCACGGTGACCATCCACCTTGACCCCCTGTGTGGGGCTGCCCCTGTGGCGTCCCTCCCTCCACGGGCGCTGGGCTCAGTTGCATGCGACCCTCACAGGGAGCAGCTGGCCCCAGGCTTCCTGGTGGGGTGGAGCCATTTCACAGGCTGCCTTGTGGGGCGGGGGCTGCCTCTGCTGACCAACGCCCCTGTCAGTCTCAGAGAGGACCGAGCAGCACCGTCCCCCCAGGGCCCGCGGCCCCTGCACACCCTGCCACTCGGAGTGAGCGAGGAGGCCTTCCTGTGTGGAGATGCTGAAATCCAGCTGCACCGTGCACTCCTTCTGCTTCAGCATTTCCACAAATGGCTCCATCGGGGGTGGCTGAGGCTCAGAGCTAATTAGTTCATAATGGGGCAAAGCATCCCGGGATCCAGGCCTGGGGTACCAGGGGAGCAGCTGGAGGGGCAGTCTGCCTCCTCAGTGTGACAGCATGCTCAGCCACGCTTCATTATGGAAGGGGCCCGTTCAGCTGAACCCCCAGAGAGAAGACTGCTTCTCCTCAAAGCCGTCTGGAGCTGGTCCAGCCAGGAGGGTCTGAGTCAAGGCCGCTGGGTTCACATCCCGGCGCTGTGACTTGGGTGACGCTGCTTCAGTGGTTAAGGAGGACAGTACTGCAGCTTCCTGTGGATTACGGGAAATAAGGTGCGCATGGCACTGGCACGGACTCAGTCTGCTCTGCGTCTCTAAGTGAAGGACTTGGTCTCCAGGTTTCCAAATGAAATCGATTTTGGTGTATTTCATATTATTACTCAGTGGTCACATGTGGCAGATGCGAGGCGATGAATCCTGCGCCGGCAGTCTCCTTCCTCACTTGGTGGATATTCGAAAGCTCCCTTTTACAGAGAAGGAGAAAGGACCATCGATGGTATGTTTAGATACCATCTCTTTGGCACCCACGGTACGAGGACTGAGATGCCCAACACCTTGAAACGTTCCTGGAGAAACAAAGGACACGACTTCTGCCCTTGAAATCTCGGGGAAGGGAGATGCACACACGTGACGCCACTAGAAATGGACCCCAGAGAGGGCAACAACTGGGGACAAACCGTGCGCAGCCGCCCGCCCGCCAAGGGACCCGCAGGACCGCAGGTAACCCTTCTGTCCACTCCAGGCCGTGGAGCTGGCCAGAGGAGGAGAGCACGCCGCACCCCGTGACCTGAGAAACAGACGTCTGCAGAGAGAAAGGCTGTGCATCCACCCACCCCTCCAGGTGCAGCTCAGACGCAGCGCCCACGAGCCTTTCTGGATCCCTCTGCCCGGGTGGAGCCCCTCCCAGAGCGGGCGGTGCAGGGGCTGGACTCGCCGCTGGTCTTTGAAAACAACAGTGCTCCCAGGAGGGTGCTCGCCGAGGCCTCGCAGGCTCTCCAACCCTGGAGACAGCCTGGTGCTCCAGCCTCACCCCTAGCTGTGTCCCTGTGTGCAGAGGCCACGTGGGCCCCTGGTTGCTCCTCCGCCCCCTGCTCAGAGCTCCCCCACACACGGGCCTCCCCACCTAAAGGAGTAACTTAATTCTCTGTCAGAGCCCCCCCTTCACCCCGAGAACGATGAGGCATGCCCTTTCCGGTGGGCGGGCCGAGGGCGCATGAGCGCCCCCAGCCCAGCCTCCACCCCCGGCCCAGCCCCCGCCCCCGGCCCGGCCTCCACCCCCAGCGTCACGGCAGCGGTGATGACCACTGACTGTTAACCTTCCTGCTCAAATTAAGAAGTCGGGCTCCTCTAAGACATACAGAAATTAACCAAATTCAGGCATCTGAAAGGAAGAGACCCCCTTCGTGTCATAGGATGAGGGTGGAAGAGTACATGACAAGGTGCCATGGACTGAAGTCACTCCAAAAGACACGTCCACAGCCTCGCCCCAGAACCGAGACTGGGTCCTTGCAGATGAGATGAAGCTAAAGATCGTGAAGTGAGGCCTTCATCCCGCATCAGGGTGGCCCTAAATCCAATGACTGGGGTCCTTATAAGGGACAGAAGAGGAGAGACACAGAGGAGAAGCCACGTGAAGACCGAGGCAGAGATGGGAGGGAAGTGGCCACCAGCCAAGGATGCCTGGAGCCCTAGAAGCGGGTAGAGGCAGGAAGGCTCCCCCAGAGCCCGAGGGAGCCCGGCCCTGCCGGCACCTTGACTTCCGACTTCTGGCCTCCAGACCATGAGAGAGTCAACTCCTGCTGTTCTAAGCCACCCCCTGTGTGGTCGTCTGTTCCCCCAGCCCGAGGACAAGTCCCTGCCCTCTCTGGACCTCAGTTTCCAGGTCACAAAAGGACAGGACAGCCCTCCGGAGTCATCTCTAAAAGCCCGTGACTCTGTGGCCCCCATCTGAGGTGAGGCATCGCGACACAAGCAGCCTGGGTTCCTTCAGGGCCAAACACCTCCGCACACACATCCCACACCCAGCAGTCCCCAGAAGGCTGGCACACCCTCTCCATACACCCCTTCGGGGAAGCCTGATTTGTGAGGCCTCCGTCACTGATGGGGTCTCTGTGGCAGCCTTGGGAGCACAGGGAAGGGCAGGAACCCTGTGGGCAGAGGCTGGAACAGCTCCCTGCTCCGCCTCCGGGAGGCAGGCGTGAGAAAGCCTCATGTGGTTTCCACGGCAGGTTTCTGGTTTCCAGGAGGCAAACCTGTTTTCACAGGACCCTGTTTCATTGCCCGCAAGTGGGGGTTTCAAAACTGTCTATTCATCTTTCATGTCTTCATTTATCTGAGATCTATCTGTCTTTTCTGTAGCACAGCGTCCAAACTTCCCTGGTGGGAAATGAAATCCGTTCCGTCACAAAAGTGGACCATTTGCCTGCCTTGTGGATGGGTGGAGATTCGATTTGGCTACGTAGAGTCAGTCAGCACCTGCAGCACCCGGGGAAATAATAATAATGGTGATGATGGGAACAGTAATGACGAAGGGAGGAGGACAGGCTCGTTTCTGAGCCTCACCAAGTGCAAGGCGCCGAACTGAGCATTAATTCACATTAACTCATTGAATCCTCACAAGAGTGAGGTGGAGTTAGGAGGATTTCCTTATAAATTAGGAGAACGGGCCCAGGCCGACTCACACCAGGTTTCTCTGACTCCAAGGCCTGTGAAGGTGGCTGCCACTCGGCCTGCTGCCTCTTGAAGAGCAGGAACGGTGTCAGCCATGGAGCAGGCGTGATAGAGGATGGTGACGGGAAACCACATCCTCCCAGGACGCTGGCCTCGTTATTCCACGTATGCTGCTTTAACAGGGGCACCAGCCACTTTAGGAAAATTCAGCATCTAGAATTATATTAACTTGGAGTTTGTGTGTGTGCATGTATGCACTGTGTACAAGTGTCTTGCATGTGTGCACGCATGAGTGTGGATGATTTGTCTGAATGTATGTGTGCATGTATACATTGTGTGTGCCTGTGTGTACGTGTGTGTGCATGGGTGTGTGTGCTGTGTGCATTACATGTGTGTATGTGTGTGTACATATCTCTGTATGCACATGTGTGTGTGTCTCTATGTGCATGTGTAGGTATGTGTTGTGCCCATGTGTGCATATGTGCATGAGTGTACACATGCATTACATGTGTCTTGTGGGCGTTGTGTGATAGGTGTATGGTGTGTGCATGTGTCAGTGTGTGTGTGTACATGCACCCGTGTGTGCATGTGTGTATGTATGCCCATGTGCACATGTGCAGGAACATGAAGGACGGAGGTTGTGGAGTGAGCTGCAGGAAGCCGTTCAGCCAGGAGAGTACCTGAGATGTGCGGGGTGTGGAGAAATTAGTCCTGCGACACTGAGAAGAAAGTGGGAACTGAGTGTGTGATGTGTGCAAGCACCTCTCAGCTCCTCTCAGGATTTTATCAGAGAAGTTCTCCCTGGAAGGAGCTCTGAGCTTGCTCCTCCGAGAGGCAGGCAGAGGGTGGAAGGGGACCATGTCCTGGGAAGGTCCTGCTCAAGCACAGGCAGGCTGCTGCCCAGGGGCCGAGTGGGGGCTAACTCCTCCTTTTCAGGCCCACAATCATTCAGTGTAATATCTGACTCTCCCCGAGGCCTTGGGACAGTGTGTGCAGTGCAGTGGCGGGGGCGCTGTCAGACAGGGCAAACCCCGGAGGCCACAGGCACTTGGGGACGTGGCTTGGAGAAGGAGGGGAGGACGTGCACAGCGAGGCTCAGCCATCAAAGAGGCCTGGTGCTTGTGTCTTGCAGGAATTCGCCGACTCCGTGTCCCAGCTGGTCACGCAGAAGTTCCGCGAGCTGACGGCGGGCCTGACGTCTGTGCACGCCCGCCACAAAGCGCTGGCAGGAATCGTCATGACCAAAGGTAAACGCCCCTTGTTTTTCCTGTGGGAATCCCGTCCACAAGGAGAGGGGTTTACTGTTCGCCTGATCTTGGGAGCCAAAGGATTCTCTCTTCCGGACAAAGACATGAAAAGGAGAACGCACCAGGAACAGAGATCAGAGACAGAAGTGGAGGCCCAGCAGCGTGCTGACAGTGAGGAAAGTCAGCTCCACACGGCATCTCTCCACTTCCACAGGAAAGGTGACATTGGATCTGGCCCGTCTCCTTCCGATTAGGCGTCATCCCCACACTCGCTCTCAGGAAGAACGTGCGGTGTTGGTATTTGTAAAAGCTGGAATCTGAGGTTAGGCCATGCCGCCCAGCGAGCCGCTTCTGGCTGCCGGGTGAGGCCTCCTTCTCCTCCTCCCCCATCCCACACGCGTTTCCCCTGTGCGCAGGAGGGCAGCCCATTCCAGAGAATCTACTTGACCCGAGAATTCCAAGTCCCCCCTGGGGTGCCAGCCACCCCCCAAATCCCAGTGCAGGAGACAGAAGGTGCTCCTTCCTGCCAACACGCCCCACCCCACGCTGCTCTCAGACGGATCCCATTCTCAGACACAACAATGACAGAACCGGAAGGAAGCACCCGATACCAACGGGCAAGATCATGGCCAGGTGGTGAAAAGGACGGTTGAATTTAAGCAACCAGTTTTGGTGAAAACATCTCACTACTAACCTCCTAGTAATAACCAAACAGCTAGTTGTTTGAATTCAATGGTTTCTAGTTCCACAGTTTTCCATGGGTTGGTAATGACCTCCTAGAGGTCATGGATTATCATACAGAATAACTGATTTGGGTTAAGTTGCGCACACACACAGTCTTGCTCTGCACGTGTAACGAAGTCTACGTGTACCTGATGTCCAAAAATATTTATGTCAAAAATCAGGCAAAAGCCAGATGATGGCCACGTTTGTCTCATCCTTCTGGACCTGCAGGGTCTCCTCTGTGGTCCGACACGGGGACCGAGTGGCAGCAGAGCCACTCAGGACTCATCTCAGTTTTAGCACAAGGACAGATCACTTCCTGTCCACCTGGGGCATCTCGGTAAGATGGAAATACAGACTCCTCCTCACAATGTAATCTGGTGACTGGGGTAAAGTCTACGAAATGCTTTGAAAGGTGAAAATTACTTCACAAGGACAAAGCTCTAAGTCACAGATGATTCAGTTTCATCAATGATACCGTCCTATCTGGTGACTGCATCCCGCCCGGGACACTGACGTTTGCCCTCCTTTCATACATCTGATGACATCTGCATCTTTGCACAATAGGAAGTGTTCTCAACCGAGGGCTAGGAGTTCACTCAGTGCAGATCGTCGCTGCTGGATGCGGCTGATCTTTCATCCAGCCGGCCAGCAGCCACTAATCAGACACATCTATACACTGGGCGCCGTTCTGCCTGCACGAGGGTGCCAAGAAAAGACACAGCACCACTCCAGGACCTGACCATCCAGGGCACAGGGAGAGCCATGCCGGCAGAGATGGGTTGCTTAGGTTTGTATCCCAGCTCCACTGGCAGCTAGTGATACAACCACGGGCCAACCACCCTCTCTGGGCTCCATCTTTCCACCTTTAAAATGGGGACAAGGGTAACACCTGCCCAGGAGGGTCGTTTGAAGGTCAAATGTGTTCGTGCATAAACAGCACTTAGAAAGATGCCTGGCCCATAATACCTGCTGTCTTTAGGAATAGCACTCTCTCATTCACAAATCGCTTACTGAGTGCCTGCCATGTGCTCGCATCCTAGATTCCAGGAAAAGAGCAGAGAACAAAACAGACCACGTGCCGGCAGCATGAATCTTGTACCCTGGTGGGGAACGGGTCATAGAGAACAATTTAGATCCAACGTAAGAAGTATGAAAGAGGAATGTGCACGGAGTTGTAGGGTCACATAAACAAAACTTTGGCAAATTTTAAAATTTGGAGCCTTGCATGGATTTTTCTGCCACAGATTCCAGGATGACACAATCTAACGTAATTTGGTCTGACCCATGAGTGTGAAGGAAAGAAGGAGGGAAGAGATGGAGGGAGGGAGAGGCATCCACCATGCTGCTTCTTTATTGTGAGATATATTTCCAACCCCAGAAGCGTGCATCAGTGTCACGTGGTGAGGACTTTTTGAACATTTCCCAACTCTGAAGCTGTGATTGTCCTCTATATTTCCACTTTTCTGGGAAACTCAATTCCAGAAAGTCTTGAAAGCTGCTCTCAGACTTTCCTTGGAAAAGAGTAAAGTTTCACAAAGACTTGTGGAAGAATGGTCCTTAAAAATGGCCAGTGTGGGCACTGTCCTGTGGCCTAGTGGTTAAGTTTGGCGCACTCCGCTTTGACAGCCCAGGTTCAGTTCCCAGGCGCAGACCCACACCACTCGTTGGCAACCACGCTGTCGTGGTGACGCACATACAAAACGGAGGAAGATTGGCAACAGATGTTAGCTCAGGGTGAATCTTCCTCAGCAAAAATTAAAAAGTGGCCAGTGAATACACTGTTTTAGGTGCAGATGATTTATCTATATGAGCTAAATTTATTATATGAAAGTGAGCCTTTACAAGGTAAACTTCACTAATTAGTAATTTATGAACATTGAAGAATAAATTGCTGAAATTTACTTTCTTGTTACAAAGAGAAGATTCAATAAACGTTAATTAAACAGAGATTATGGAGAAATGTGAAAAATTATTAATATAAATATTTTTAAATATTTGCTTAAGTTGATGTGCCATTTACTCTTCCTTGTAATTCAGTTATTCAAGCAAATGCCTCTGAAACTCTAAGATGGGGTGATGTGTCTTACTCTGGTTGCTGTATGTAAATTACAATGTTACAAAATTAAATCACTTTAAAATAAGACATGATTCAATTGCCCTCTCCACTTTTAGGTGGGATGCCAATTCATCCACATCAATTAGCTCATATAAAGTCATTTTCATTTATGACGCTGAGACCATTTTGTAGCTGTTATAAGAAACATGATAAGAAAAAAGTATACTTAAGAGCAGAATAGTTTTTACTTTCATCAAAATAATGCAGTCATATGGTAAAAATTCACACAGAGGAGAATTTATGAATGAAAACATTTTCCCACACTCTCCTTGTTTCCCTTTACTCCTCAGAGGCAGCCTTTTTTTTGTTGAGGAAGATTAGCCCTGAGCTAACATCTACCACAAATCCTCCTCTTTTTGCTGAGGAAGACTGGCCCTGAGCTAACATCTGTGCCCATCCTCCTGTGCTTTATATGTGTGATGCCTGCCACAGCATGGCTTGACAAGCGGTGCATAGGTCCAAACCCAAGATCCAAACCGGCGAACCCCGGGCCACCAAAGCGGAACGTGCAAACTTAACCACTGTGCCAACAGGCTGGCCCTGAGGCAGCCATTTCTAATCATTTTTAATTTTTGCTCTCCTGACTCTAAATACTGCATTGGTTCCATATGTCTAGATTTTCAATTTCAAATAGTATCTGTTGACTCGCACTATTAATATGTGATACTTTTTTATTTTTCATTAATTTGTAATATTTGTGATGTTAGATAATATACTTAAACCTTTATTTCTTATATTACCAAATTTAGCTGGTGCACCTTCACTTCCTGTTCTCTAAATCCAGGATGGTAGCCCCCAGCCTCATCCTCCCTAGCCAATTTCTCTCCACTGTAAGCGTATTTTTACATTATCGTAACGGTTGGTATTTATATTCTAGTCTAGAGCATAATTAACTGGTTCTGTATTTTGTCTGTCCTGTGAGTCTAAGAGTTGAGAATTGTTAGAGAGTACCTACGCGGTCAGGACACCGCGGAGCGGGGCAGTGAGCTGGAATTCCAGCTGGCGCTGGGTCAGTGGAATGTCTCTCCTGAAAGAGAACAGCCTGGCGTCCGGGTCACGCAGATTCTTGATGCTTCCATCTCTAGCTAACAACCGTGTTACCTTTAAGCCTGATTCAAAATTGTAGCTAGACTTTGTTAAAGAGCTTTTGAAATATTGTGTTTTCCAGAATACCAATTTTCTTTTTTCTTACTTGAAAAAACGAGAATGTGCGTTTGGTGTGTGTGCTGAATTATGTAGCCGCTAAGTCATCAAGTCCATAAGCAGACCCACTTCCTTCCCCTGTGGAGCCCCTGACGCTGGCCCGTGTGCCTGCACTTCCAGCCGGGACCACAGCATCAGCATCTTTCTCATCTCTTCTCACCTGATAGAGGGCATCCCCAAGAAACAGCCTTTAAAACGTGGGAGTAGAAACTGAATACTCTGGGATTGCAAACAGTTTTGATTTGGTTCTCATGCTACTGAAAGGGAGGGATTCTAGGCTTGCAAGTAGTTTCCCTCAGTATTTTGAGGGGCTTTTTCCATTATCTCTTATCTAACGCTTCCCACTAGAAACCTTACGTCTGACTGACATCATGATCACAGTGATCGCCCCCCCACCGCCCTAGGAGGGGAAAGGGTCGTTCTTTAACTTGAATGTTTTGTAATTTCCTAGGAATGGGTTTAGGTGTGAGCCACGCCCCTTCCCTGATACATATAAGCTGTTTATTTGTGTATTTTTCCTCATATCATTGCTTGAATAACTTCCTTCCTTCACACACATTTTTGTTGAATTTTCCATGTTCTGAATTAATCCCGTCTTAGTGTCAGTCTACCCTTTACTCTGCGTTCTTGGAAATTTCCTAAATTTTTCTGACAGCTCTTCAGCTGCCCCTCTTTCCCCAATTTTTGCAATCTGCATTTATCATTCGAGACCTTGCCTTGCTCTCAGCTTCCTCCTTTCTCAAGGACACTCTTCTTGTTTTACAGACGTGATGTCTCCTCAGATTTTTCCGAGGCGGCTTGTCAGCAAATTCCTAAGTTCTCCTCTTCTGTCTGGTTGGAGGGACTCCTCCGTGATGAATGCTTTCTTTATTTATTTTCGGTCTTTCTCTCTTATCCTGTTTATGATTTTTGTCGAATATTCACATCTGCGAGTAAAACATTAAAAGGATTGTTA